TATGTTACTTAGTATACATCTCGGGCAGCATAGTCAGTAATGATTTCCACACATAGCAAATATCACTGATTCCAAACATACAGATGCGAGCTTGCTTCTCAACCAGTTTTCTTTCTGTCGCATCTTCTCAGAGATATACTGTACACATTATCTAGGCATTTGCAAACATCAAAACTGACAGCATGATCATTGAGCGTGAGGTGTCGTCCATAGATGACGCTTCTGGTAACTCCCACAGTGCTGATAGTGAGCAAACGCGGAACTATTTGCACACTAGACCTTATATAGGATTTTTAAGTAGTAAGTAACCCTGCCGCCGTCTGCAAATTATGTAAGAAGTACCATGTCTTGGAATCGTCTAATGCCATAATTATCTGCACTTTTAACACATAACACTGAAAACAACACAATCAAAAAATTGACACATGTCAAGTACATTTTGATTCTTACAGACTATGAGAACTCGGAGACAAACAAATCCCTGTCTGTCTCGATCTGTCTAGTCCGAATTCGTTGGTTGGTGTCACAAAGTACGCTGGCGAAATGTGAGTTGCAGAACTTTAGGTAACATCGTCGTTGAGCCATTCCTCCTTAGGTGGCGCCCACAGCAAGTGGGCGTGGAACAGGCTAGCGGCTACTTAGTAGACAACTCAACATAATAATAATAATAACAATAATAATGGTTTATTGGTGCTATTGCACAGAACGTGCTTACACAAGTCAATATGATAGAAGCGCTCAGTAACAAGAAGAAAATAAATGACAAACAATACATATAATAACAAACAATACAGATTACACACACATAAATATGGTTAAGAGGATGACAATAAAAGTATAAAATATAAAATTATTACAAACTATAGTGTATTTACACCCAAGATAGAATGGATGCGTGATTGCCAAAAGCAAGGACGGCGTACAGGGCCGCATTCAGGGCTACCTCCGAATGATGGACTACCACCAACGTGTTGTAAAACAAAGATGACAGTATTTAACGAAATTATCTAATATAGTGAAGTAGTTATAGTTATGGGTGTCGCAAAATCAATTTTTTATTCTTGAAGGGGTGCTAAGTTTTTCTACAGATTTTTCAAACTAGACAACATGGAGAAATACATACCAGAGGTAACCAGCTGCTCACTATGCACAATGAATCCGTACTCAACGAGGAGTAGAGATGACACTTTTGTACATGGAATAAATATAAGGCTATTCAATCAATTGAAAATAGATTTTGAAGGTGCACGTCGGACTTGCATTGTCTGTAGTTTATCTGTAAGTTAATATTTCACTATAACTAGGATTCCCATAATATGTATTCTGTGACAAAACAAAAACGTGAAACTTACTCAGACTCACTTGAAGAGCTGTCGTCATTAATGTTAATGATTATGGATTCAAAATCTCTCTCAATTATGTTGTCCAGCTCCCACATTGCTACCTCCACTTTCTCCTGAACATGCTGCACACATTTTTGCCATCTTTCCGGTGTGACCCTCTGTATAGCAATTCTGAACAGCTCTTGCATGTCAGAAAATTTAAATGTTGTATTTTGTGCAGCAACAAAATTCTTAACATCTGCCCATATGAGCTCAATGGGGTTGAGCTCACAGTGGTAAGGCGACAAACGGAGTACTGTTTTGAGGTGTGCTTTGGCCATTTCATCTATGACATATTTATCATGTCTTGGTCTGTTTGTTTCACAATATCTAATAGTTGTAATTTCATTAAGGAAGGGTCGAAAGTTATATTTTTGGAACGGAGCCAGCTCTGAATGTCTGATTTCCTAGAAGTTGAAGTTGGTATTTTTTCTATTTTGCGAGAATGATAGGGAGCATTGTCCAAAACAACCACAGAATTGTCTTCGAGACGTGGTAAAATGCCTGAAAACCACTTCTCGAATGCTTCCCCATTCACCTCTTCAAGGTAGTCAGTGGTTTTTTTTTACTCAAAAGGCCATAAGCCGTCATCCACGAAGCCATCTACACCCCCCAATGTGGCAAATATTGAGCCTTTTTCCTTTGCCTAGAAAGATAAAATCCGCTAACTACACATGCACGTCTTGTAGGTACGAAGGTAGAGAGATATTGTGCGCAAAAATTGATACCGTGAACTACTTCGATCTATTTACCTGCTGGATTTTTCAATCCGGTCGACAGTCCATCTGGAAATGCCCTTCTGGATGAAGTCACAGTTTTGTCAACCCATACCTTTGGAGTAGTGTGCCCAGCGTTAATCCAGATTTCGTCCAGGTAATAGATCTTCCTGTGCTGATTCCTGAACACAGAACAATTTCTTCTCCATCCATAAGTAAGCTGTTACGACCTCGTTTCGTCCATTCGAAATTAAGATGCTTCAAAAGTTTATGAATAGTCGAACTTTGAAATTTGGTAACATAGCATCCTCGTTAACCTCCCGTAGTACTTCATCAACTGTCGGTATTTCATTTCTGAAGAAGAACTCGTGCACTTTCCTCCGAATCGCATGCTTGTCAGCGTCATCCAACGATCTTATGATACTTTTGCGATTTTTACCCGTCATTGGCTTGGAAAAGGCATACTTTTTCTTATGTTCTTCAAAACATTGTACACTATTGCTTGGCATACCCCCAATTTTATCTGCCACTTTCAGAGCTATTTTCGGGTTAGTTGATGTTTCGTCTTCCTTCCGCTCTATCTTGAATGTATTCAATATGACGTATTTCATGTCTACGCTAAGATGTATTCTTTCTATCGCTTTCTATGAAGGCTAAAGGAGTAGCCTACAGCCTCGTCAGCAGTATCTGTACTGAACATGTTCAGGATTGGTTCAAAACAAATAATAAAGAGGAATAACAATAACAAACAGAAACTTAACAAATTACTCAAATACACTTAACAACAACAACAGCAACAACCAAGCAAGGTGAATACGAAAACACGAGCACGCAGTGATACACGCGACGGTCGGTGGCCTGAATGCAACTTTGCCTGCCCTGCCCCTGCCCCGCGCATTACTCTGCCAGGCGACCTGTTGAAATTTAATGGCGAATTGACCAATAAGAGGCGTTGTCCCCACCTGTTACCGAGAGATCACGCGTTAACTGTTATTATTTACATCTCATCTTAAAACACTAAATTGAACACTCCTTTTAAGCTTTTCCATTTTCTTACCGCACCTGTTCTCGAAATAGTCCATTTCCCTGCCCACTTATGCCGACACATTCACACATGGTTGAAGGGTCGGATGCGTATAAGAAAAAGGAAAACTGTCGGTAGCTCCCCGAAGAGCAACTAATAAAAGGACAATATTGGCGGTGCCGAAACGCTCTGGCCATTTCACTACCAGCCTAAAGCAAACAGCAAACAGTTACTAGTTATAGCACCTGGGGTCCCCGAGCAGAGGCGCTCAAAAATGGAGGGACCTCGGTCAAAACACTGAGCGATACTTTTCAAGCCATATCGCTGGGTTAGTACAAAAACCAAATAGCTACCAAAACGAAACTTTTAGTATATCGAGGTAAGACAGCACAAAGTGCCATCTGTTACCAGAATCGACCACTGTGAAAGTAAAAACACCAAGGTCTTTATGCTCTGAATAGGGTAGAGTTGCAAAGCTTTTGTCCATTGTCCACCGGGACCATGCTAAAGAGTTGCTAAATAGCACGAAACTGCTGCCTACGGTTCGGCGTCTGTGATCACACGAACAGGAGCTATATTACTAGTTTAACGTTTTTAGTATTTGTAATTTACATAGTCTGTAGTATTTTTCTCTGAGAAGATGTGAAAGAAAGAAAGTTGGTTGAGTACCAAAATCGCATCTGGATGATTATGTGTATAAAATGCGTGATATTCTCAGTGACAGTAGAAGTGTTACACCCAGAAAAAATAATTCCTTCAACTTGTTTTTTTTCAATGAGGCAAAAATGAATCGATAACATTTTCACGAAATTTTATTGACAAGTAAGAGGAAATAATTAATGTGTTGGATGACCCCGCAGCTGAATACACTCCTGGATACGTCTAGGCATCGACAAAATGAGATGATCGATGTCTGGTTGTGGCACCTCATTCCAAAAAAATCGAACTTCGTGGATTAGCTGCGGCAGAGTCTGTGGCTGATGGTGCAAAGTGGATAGTCTCTTTTCCTTCTTTCTTCTCATTTTCATCAGGCCCGTAGATCCCAATGATAGTCTCTAGATTTACACCTTATCTTACTTCAATTACTAGTATTCTTTCTGATATTGCCTCCCACCTATGTATGAATTTCCTCTTATTTCAATGTTTAGTACATCTCACTCCTGCAGCAGCTCTTTCCTTTGTATCTACGCCACTGTATATTAAGATATGCCCGTTGCCTAGATTTTCAATCCCATTTGCCCTTTTCTTTGTTTCTGTTATTACCAGAATTTCTATTTTCGATTGTTCACATTTACTAGGTTCTTTGTCATTTATGCTTCTTATATTCCAGGTTGCCAATGTCATGTATGCCATCCTGCAATTATACATTCCTTATTCATTTCCGTTGCCGTAGCCTGTTTCGTCTTCAATTTCCAGTTTTTGCTTAGTTTTTTTGGGAATTCGTTTTCTATTTTCTCTAATTCGCTTGTTTCTGCATTCCATTTCCACAATTCATTATCGACTATTAGTTTTTGATAGCCCATTTTAGTGTGTTTACCTTGCTTTCTTTCCTCGTTTGCTTTGTCTCTTATTTTCTTTTGTAGGTATCGTTCGATTTTAGTTAAATCATCATTGATATATGTTCTCTCCTTTAATATTTTAAGTCTGTGCTTATTTTGCATTATTTTCACTTTATCGTCAATGCTATTAAAATCTACTAAGCACACCTTACCTGATAATTTTCTGGCTCCATTGACTGTTACTGCTACTTTCAATTTTTCTCCAATAAAGCTTTATGATCTTTTCTCGCAAATTGGCTGTTTTGCCCGTATTTAAGGGTTATCCTTGTATAACCATGTTTTTTCTTCGTTTTTTACTTTCCATTTTCTCTATTTTACCCTAAGATATGGTGATTTCCTGTTTTAACTGTTCCACTTCTTTCTTTACCTGTTCGTTTTCCTCTCTAAGAATTTTTACCTCTTTTTTGTATTCATTTTGTTCTTTTCTCAGCTGTTTTATTTCCTCATACAATGCATTCACATCTTTTCCACATTCTTCCTGGTTTTGTTTGATTTCCTTAACATCCTTAGTGAGATTTGTTAGAAGCCCCATCATTTGTGTCATAATATCTTCCCTCGATTGCACCACTTTACTTTGATTGGGGATTTACTAAATTTTTTGCTTTTTTTTTTAAATTTCTTCCTCGACATCCCTTTTTCTTTTCCCTTCATCAGTAGTGTAATCATCCGAGTCTGTAATACTGTTCATCTTAGGTTTATTTATTGTATTTCAACCGATATGCATTGTTTCTTCTATTTGATCTCTTATAAGGTTTGCTAGGAAATTTCAGGGTCGCGATAATGCTTGAATCCACCTCAACCGTTCGGAGATATCAAGTATTTTCCAATCCCTGAGAACCAGACTTTCTTCCAAATCTGGCAACACCTCATAAAATTCCAACAGCAATTGAGGGGCCTAGAAGTAAAAGGGTTTAAGTACATTTTTAGTAGTTCTGAAATAAATGGCTTCAAAGTTTACTTGAATTTGAAAATTCCAGGAATACATTTATCAAAGTATGATACTATATTAAGTTTATTTAAATGCCAATAAAACATTACAAACAAAAAACATTATTTTAATTTTGCTTTTTTATAGTCATTTTTGCAAAAATGTACTTGAATCATTATACATGTTACAAGAATTATGGTGGTAACATGATTCAAGTGCAACTACCGTACTAAACCAAACATTATTTAAAAATAATCTATATCAAAATTTCTTATTCATAATCGGAATCTAATATTTGGATCTTCATCATTTTCTTCATCTGAATTGGTTGGGGTTCATCTATATCAGGTACTTTTTGGCTTGATGTCAGGGTCTGTGTTTGTTCCCTTTTTCCTTTTTTTGTTAATGCTTCCCCATCGTGCCTCATGTTTTTATAAAATGTATGGTGAATGGGCGGAATGTATTCCAATAAGCTAAGCAAGTTTTTGTACTTGGCGACTTTAATCTTTATTGAAGTGCCATTCAAAGGCTTTAGTATTGAAAAGTTAAAACACGGACGCCCAACGTTTGAGGTTGCCATTAAGCAACCGCTAAACTCTACATCAATGTTTAGGGTACTCTTGTATCGAAATTTTAGTCTTCCACTTTTATAGTAAGCAAACCAGCAAATGTCTTTTCATTTTAAGGGGTAACCGTCACTATTTTTTTTTGATCGTTCATAATTTCATTGAACGTCGAAAAAGAGTAAAAATCGTCTTTGTTCATATTGTACACAATGAATTTGGCCGATGTGCATCTTATTACAGTCTCCCAATCTGCGGAGACAAAAACTTGAGGGATTTGCCTTTTTTTCTTCTCGATTAAGCCAAAACTACGGTCACATTCCATATGTGTAGCTTGAACAATAAAACTAAATAATTTAGCAATGTTTTTATTCTTATTTTGTCCTCCACACGTATCACTGTATGCAATAATATTCGTAACTGTAGATGGAAGGGTTTGCACAAATTTTATTAAACATAATCCTATCTTCTGTGAGCCCCTGGATGCAATAGTTTCGTTCCATACATACATATAACTTTTTCCAGTCAGTAAGTCAAAGGCACAGAAATTATACGTCCATAATTGACGAAGATAAAATACTTTAGTGGTTAACAATGGCGTCGGCAATGCCTGTTGCAGATCAAAACAAATTACAGCCGGATTTTTAGAATCATTTTTATTTTCAGCAATATCAGCTTTTATGGCATCTGTTGCTTTCTGGGCTTTTCTCGAGGTCTTCCTTGGCATTTTTAATCACGTCTTCATTTGTAGAATATCTTATTAAATTTTGTAAATTGTCACAACGACTGCAGGTATCACGATAGGGCTTGTGGAATCTTAAATTGAATTCCGTATTGAAAATATGCCTGTAATAGGAGTCTTTTACTGGTAATTCTTGTTTGTCAATACAAAACTCCTTATATAATTTGTACATCTTAATGATACTTAATTCTCCTGAGATACCTAGCGTTCCCAATCAGTACTCGTTTTGCTTATTATTATAACACTACCAACACTGCAAAATGCGTATTTTTAAGAATAAGTAAAACATTGAAATCACGTCACACGTAAAACATTAAAAACAGTTGCCAAAGCCTTAGAAGTGAAATGGTTCAAGTGCACTTGAATCATTTTACCACATACTGTATTAGTGGATATTTTGATATGTTCTCAAAGACTATGAGAGATGGCACAAGGGAACGTTGCGTGCATTTAAATCATTTTACCACCAAGTTAGGATATGCTTTAGGTATGATATTCTGCACTTAGACCATTTAATTAAAAAAGTGCACTTGAACGTTTTTACTTCCAAACCCCTCAATTAACCGTTTGCTTATGAACTCTGCCACTGATAACCTCATCTCAACCTCTTGAACAATTCACTGTTCTACATTTTTCTACTCATTTTGTCTACTGTTTCTTGTCTCGAATAATGAGTTGACATAAAAAGTCTAGACATAATACATGAAATGTATTTAATATTCACTATAACACCCGTAAATGGAAAAATTATAAGCGAATTTTTGAATACGTCTTGAAGTTTCCAACGCGACGTTGCCACCGGTTATTTATATGTAGTCCTCTCTGAAGACAAGTAATGTTCAAAGTTATAAATTTTTCCCGTTTTTTTTTGCATTTGAAAAAACTTTGAGAAGCATTACGGTAAAACAGCAGAATATCCGCATTGTGTGTAATTCCGCTTCTGTTTTTTACACACTGCAATAGACCCATATTCACTTGTTAACTTTTAGTCATCTGTCTCCAGATGGCTAGGCGAAAACCGTACTGATAATTGCTAAAAAGCATAAAACAACACCGTGTACTTTTAATTATGGTTGCAGAGACGGAAAGCCAATAGATTCTATTTGACGTTACCGAGTAACTCTGTTTTCAGAACCAAATGTTTGAAGGAGAGCTAGGCTACGCCACTGTGTAAGTGAGCATTACACAAAAAGCTCCTTGGTGGCTATCCCCCAATCACATTCGAGATATGCGGAGGTGTGAGGTGACGATGAAAGTTTTATGACTCACACAACAGATTTTTTCTTTTCTTTCAGTTCCAACACTGATCTCAGCTTTAGATTAGAAAGTTGGGGTATATTGAGAAGGATAGGTACAAGAAAAAACTTTTTCGAATTCCACTCAGGGTAGAAGGGTTCCCTGTGTTAGCCAATTTATACAGTACATAAAAAAAATATTTAGGAAAAACTTCAGGCAAAATAACAGAGCGGAGTTTTCAGCCCAGGAAATAACTCTACCGTTGATCGCATGTATGAGATTTTTGCTCTCAAATATTCTGAGACGTGTGTGTTGTAAACTTTCATCAACATTTTTTTTGTATTCGATTGTCTTTTAAAAGCTCACAGTTCGCAATTTTAGCATTTTTTTTTCGATAATAATCACCAATTTTTGAATACTCAAGTCAGTATTTTTATGACCATATAGTCGTAGTACTTTCTACAACAAATGATAAAGACAATGAATGAGCCGTATTCATAAAACAAAGGATATCCTTGTACTAGCAAATTTTGAAGGAAATCCTCCAGATGATATTTATAATAATTTGAAGTAAATGCTTTTGCTTTTTGAGTATAAGCATACCCTCAAAGCAGTGACATAAGTCAAAGGATATTCATAATCTTCACCTTAGACATAGGAAGCATATCTCTAAAAATTCTGAGTGTGGTCAGTAGCAGGCTCAGCTTCGTAATGAAAGGTGGTCAAACGATGATGGCGGACAGATTTTTTGTTGAGAAGAAGGAAACTCGAGCAGGAGCACTTTCATGTGTTCATAAAATGAAGATATGTCTACGTTATCTCGGTGACCCTGGATATCAACAAGGTATTGGTCAGGAACTTGGTGTTAGTCAAGCAACGGTATCTCGGACAGTGGATAGAGTTGTGAACAGCATAGTTGCACAGTCGAACTAATGGATCAAGTTTCCAACTACCAACCATGAACTGATGGAGGCCAAGCGGATATGGCAAAGCAGGTATAAATTTCCGACTGCAATTGGTGTAATAGATTGTACACATATAGGAATCCTGAAACCAAATCGCCATGGAGTTGAGTATATCAACCGAAAAGGGAAACCTACTTTGCATGTGCAAGCCACTTGTGATGCCAGAGTGTTGATGTCAGTTGGCCTGGATCCGTGCATGATTGCAGAATATGGAGAAATTCACAGACTAAATCACAACTAATAAATAAACCAAATGTTGTACTACTTGGCGATGACGGTTATGGTATTGAGCCATGCCTTATGACTCCCTTCAGAAATCCTACTCCAGGGGCAGAAATAAATTATAATAAGCTTTTTTGGTCTATGTTATTCATCATATGTATATATACTATTTTCTGTCTACCTCACATTGATTTTGACATATGTAATTACATATTATTATGCGCTTATTCGGGTGCTCCCCTCCAGTGGTTGAGTAGAGTAGCTGTCAGCTAGGCATCGCCACTGGTATTATATATATATATATATATATATTTATAACTTGAGACGTGGTCATTGTCGTCTAGACCAGTTAGGTGAAAAAATTAAAGCTTCCGCCTTTTGTTGGGTACTTCGACAAAATTTAAGCAAAGAGGACTCTTTATACTTTTTTTAATTCTCTCTAGCTTTCAATGGACTTTGCCATCATCATCATTGTAATTGCAGCTCCTGATGATGATGGCAAAGTCCATCGAAAGCTAGAGAGAATTAAAAAAAGTATAAAGAGTCCTCTTTGCTTAAATTTTGTCGAAGTACCCAACAAAAGGCGGAAACTTTAATTTTTCACCTATATATATATATATATATATATATTTTATTATACGGAATTTTCTTTGAAAATAAAAGACGGCTTATTATTATTATTATGTCATGTAAAAAACAAATTTTTCGCGATTGTAATACTGCCTCGCCAGTAGCGTGAGAACTAAGACCCAATTTTCTCATAAGAAATTTGCTTCCGCATTTTGTTGAAATGAGTCTAAGATTTGTATCACTTGGAGTATAGTGGATTAAGAGCCACGCGGCTTGCACAGGAAATTTAGTGCCGGATGCACATCAACTCACAGCGCAGCTTGCGGAGTTTCTTTGAATAAAGTTGACGTCTTTATTATATCCGTTCCATTATAATTGTACTTGTCTTCCATAAATCCATTTTTACTTGAATAGATTAGCTCTTTGCTCACTATAACTCAGACAAGAAACTTTATACCCAAGATAACGGGACAGAATCTAAGGCAGAGGCCACACTAGAGGTGGTACGCGACTGTGGTGGCAGAGATATATATATATATATATACAAGAACATATTACTGGATATTATGAGAGAGAAAATCTTTTAAAATTCAAGTATCGTGTATTACTTCAGTATGGAACTCTACTGTGTAAAGTTTTAAAATATAAATTAGCCAGATATCTGTTTATTGCTTTGGGCAAGAGATGTTCACTCCGCCAAGTTTTCTTACGCAACAATGAATATTTCAATATTCCAGTTCATACAACATCTAAATTCACAAAATATTTTACTTACATATGCCATATCTACTGAACGATCATTTAGAACTTTTTGAAGCACCTTCCATCCAAAACTTCAGAAATGAGATGGAAAAAGTGCTACTACAGCTGCAAAGATTTGAATCCACAATTTAAATTTATGGCACTTGCTACACTACAGTCCATTAACACTCAGACTATATCGTAGTATATACTGTGTTGTGCATAATATCTGTTGTGAATACTAATCATTCTATTGATGTTAAAAAACGCTCATGAAGTTAACTTTTTAGGGGGAGGTGAAAAATGGCCCTGCCAATCCTCTTTCCTTTTGGAATGTTGTCGTTTTTATATTTTTATGTATATACATTCCAATAAAAATTATTATTATTATTATATTTCACGAACTCAGATTAAGTAACTCGTTACGTATGAGTGCCCTTCAATCTGTAAGCTGATGATATTATGAAACAAATGACTTATAATCTCACGACCTACTTAGGAAATCCTGTTTTTTTTTAAACAACTAAAGTCTGCTATGTCAATGTATGAGGAACGTATTATACATTTTTGGAATCTGAACAATCTGACATGGCGACTATAAGCAAAAATACAGCTTCTGATTGAGGGTAAAATATAAAACGTCATATTGAAAGTTTAATTATGCTACCTTGCATGGGAGAAGAAATTGACAATGTTAATTTTCTTTGTATTTCGAATCCCATCTCAAATAAAATAAAAAGTGAAACCGATTCTGAGTAAATTCTGTTTCTTTCGCCTAGTTCCGGTGTAAGCATATGAAATATACTGAGTGATAAAAAAGGTAAACACCTACGTGTGTTTATTAGAATTCATGCATTCTTTACATATCGTGGATCCTCAACACATTATCGAACCAGCTTCTGCAGTCAGTTGACGAATCAAGCTGAAAATTTAGTCATTTTACTTATAAGTATATATATGCCAAAACTTATCAAAATTTGATAAACATCCCAACTAGCAAATTAGTGGTATAAGCTTTTGGTAAAAGAACCGTTCAGCCATAAAAGCTCTCTATTGTTGTTGCCTGAACACCAAAATGCTGGCTTAATGTTGTGTGGAATGCAAATTTGCTTTCTGCTACATATTTGCTCTAAAATGTGTGTTTAAAATATTCTTATAGCATAGTTATACAACACCTTATAGGGCAAATTCTTAACTGTTGCATAAACGTTTATACAACTATTTTATACGGCATATTTGCACGTTAGTCAAAATGGTTGTGTTGTGGCATCCATGGTAACGTTTATAAAACAAACCCGAGCCTTGTTGTTTTGCTGTGCAATTTACTACTTTAGCCAACAAATTGCTCCCAACGGAAGCACTTATACAACTGTTGTTTAGTAACTGTTAAAGGCTGTACATATGCTAAATATGTTGGTAAACAACTTCAGCATAACCTAACTTTCTGCTGTCATATTTTTGTAAAATGCCATAACCAATGTTTTAAGACAAACAACGCATGCATATTGGTTCAAAAGGTTTTATCAACTGTTCAAACAAAAGATATAGATCTGGTACAAATTCTGGGTAAATCATTCGACTCAGTCGATATTTCATTTCAGACATTTGTCAAATTGTTGTATAACACCTGCAGGCAATACCAAAATATTCTAATAACCCAAGGACAACATGGACGATGCCATGATTGTTCACAACCACCCGCCATATTCGGCAAACATTTATTCCTCTATTTAATATTAAATAGTTATGCTTTAGTTCGAAATTACAGATATAAAGAGATAAACATTAGTGTAATTGTGTCTAAATATAGGATTTGTGAAAGATTTAACGCAGATAAGTTCAGTTTTCCATCTTCAAAATCTAGACATACTTTTGATCATTGTCAAAATATAAATTTGCACGATAATCACAATAAAATATGCTGCGCAAGTAATTTAATAGCCCTATATCACAGTGTAGAAGTTTATCATATACCTGTGTATGAAATTCGCAATGGCCGATATGTAAGTAAACAAGATGACTGTAATGTGTTAGTTATATTTATATTCTTCACTTCGTCTATACAATACATAAGAAATAGTTTGGTTGCAATAAAGTAGAATCATGTAACAGAAATCGTTGTATAGTTGACAAAAACTGAATCTTGCACTGACGCAAATGTCCTATAGCGGCTGCAAGAGGCTTACACTTTTGTTGTATAACTGTTACCTGCAGCCCTTATGCAACCTCTTAAATGACTGAAGTGTCCTATTAGGTGTGCCCTTTCCGCTTTTATAGCAGTTCTAAGAGGGTTTTGCCAATGTTCTTACAGTATACAATGCTGTTTAAGGAATACTGTATAATCATTCTTGCAACTCTAATAGGAGTGATAATTGTTAGTTGGGATACGTTTGTGTTTGCCTTTTTTTGTCACTCGGTATATTTGAAACACATTTTGGATGACAGTTCAACCTTGAAACACACGAATTCTTTCTAGAAGTTTAACAAGTCTCGCTAGTGTCACTCAACACGATCGCCCTTAGGCACGTATATGTTATATGGGCACTTATTGTCAGGGTAAGCTTTCAATGGCGTCATTTACACGCAAAGGGTATAATGGTCGCTTCTGAGATCAAGTAGTGAGTGGTGTTAGCCCAATTACAGGGTTACTCTGCTATTGGTTGTAGTGTTTTGGTTACCTGAACGGACTTACCACTAACTGTCTCAGCGCTTCACCTGAAGTGTGAAAGTTTATTGAACGTATTAAAAAAATCCACTTATAAATAGGGAACACATACATTGTTTTTCTTTTTAAAACCCACACTGCACTTTTTTGTATTCAAAGAAGGTGTTCAAAATGTCGTACTCCACTTTCCGCACCAGCTTCATTACGACGAACCCAGTTTCTACTAACTCTATTTAACAATATGTCGGCGAACTCTTGATTCGAGAACATTGTAAATAAACACGACGACATACGCGAACAAAAACAAAACAACACGCCTGATGCTCAGCTCGACAAAACGATAAAGTAATTTATCTATGCAAAACGATAACTTACCACTGTTATCGTTTGCTGTCGATTGCCGGTTCGATAAGTGTGATGAAAGACCGACGCGCTGTTGTCATGTGTGTTTTAAATATTTAATTTAATGAAAACTTACTTACTGACTACAAATTTTGGCTTAACTTGGAAAAACTTAATGCCATTTATTTGTTAATTACTCATCTAAAAACGTTTTAGATAAGATTATAAAAATAGTAAGATTGTGGTAATGGTGGTCGATATAAAGCACTTAAAGTTGTCAACTTTTAGACAAAAATCTATTGACTTTTGGACCATGGGTCATATGAACTTTTTGACTAGTTTTGACCCCCCTATTACTCATTTCAATATTGACTACCATAACGTTTATACCCTGTATATACCTATGTTTCAATTAATGAGTTACGCGCTCAATAATTACGTGTAAGGCTAGGGTTATCGACTTTCTAAGTGTTATTTACTTAGTTATAGTACCTGAACGCACGATTTTTCCTTCATTTAACCGCCTTCGTATCTCTTACCATTACCGAGATCCCCACGATGAGAATCGAATCTTAAACACCCTGTATCAACAGTTGACTGCAGCGCCATCTATGAGGCAATAACCATTTCAAGATAGATTCATAATAAATTATTGTGGAGAGGAGAAACATAGCGGTGACAAATTCTCATTTATCTTTAATAATTTTTCAGACTGGCAAAGATTGTTTTAAGTTGACCATCTTTAGGTAGGATACGTTATTCAATGCTCAAATATACAGAGTGTCCGAAAAAAGTGTGCAATATACTACCAGCGGTTTCTAGAGCTTAAAATAGGAAGAAAAGTTTATATACACATAGGCCGACAAATGTCCCCTAAGCGCGCTACGGTCTTTTAAAGGGGCTCCCCTGTATATTTGAGCATTGAATAACGTATCCTACCTAAAGATGGTCAACTTAAAACAATCTTTGCCAGTCTGAAAAATTATTAAAGATAAATGAGAATTTGTCACCGCTTTTTTGACATTATGCTATTTTTTTGACATTATGTAGGTTTTTCTACAAGATGTTAACTTAGCACTTAGTTGTACGTGTTGCATAAATGTCATGAGGCTTGTTATCAACCTTTGGCTCTGAGGTGATGTAAAATCTGCTTCTGAGATGGCATTACTGGAGGTATAAGCTGTAAGTTGTATGTGTTGACGATAATTACATTCGGTTCTTGTCTCAAATACACTTAATTGAGATTCAAAGTTAGAAATTAGATGCGCATCCACTTTTTCTTATCCATTCTGGAAATTACATATACAACTTTGCTGAATTTCAAAAACAAGGGAGATAAGAAATAATTATACTCACTGTATACTGTCGAATTACAAGCCATATACATGCTAAAACTATACAACCAATAATGCGTGTAGTTAATTGAGTGATTCCTCCATAGATGGACGTTCACAACGATCCTAGTGAGCAAACGTGGAATGACTGTTTGCGCCCTAAAAATTACCTAGTCTGCAAGTTGACATCTTATAGGTTTTTTTTTGACGTTTTATAGGTTTTTTACATGATACACATGCCGGTAAGGCGGCATTTATATAAACTGTTCGTGTGACTTTTTGATCAACTGCACCCTCTATAAATACGCACTTCCATTCTTTTCTTCCAGGTTATATTACCACAAAGCT